ATCTCCGGAGCATGTGATGACATCTGTCATCTCATTCCCTCGGCATTTCAACAGAGGGTCAATGTCTATAGCTTACGTCTTGCATGGCAGCTCTAAAGTTCCTTCACGAATTTTTGCATGGAGAATTTTTCGTAAAGTTTGGCATACAATAGAGGGATGGCCCACATACTGATGGTAGTGATAATACCTGGCATTCCTCGTCGCTGCACGCTAATGGAGGATAGGTTTCTCTATCACTCTTAATTTCCTTAATTTTCCGTGGGTTGTAGCCAGATCTGTCATCCACGGCTAAGGCATGATGAGCTTTATTCTTGTTCGTCTTCTAGGATTTCCCCATGGAAAGCTTGACCCAAAAGCTGGTCTTCCTTACTGCTTTCAGGAGCCTCGAGAACTGGCTGATACCGATGTTCTCCAAATAGACCATGTAGTCAGCTATAATGTTGCTTATGCTGATCTCCACAAAGCTTCCTTGTCCTTCTCATCATTGCAGTCAAGGGCGAGGTCTCGGAAATGTTGAACAAAAGTCACCAGATATTCCCTGTGCTTTTAGCGTGTATAGTTGAGTTGAGTTGTCGTGACTCTTTCCTCATACTGGAAGTACTTTTTATAGAACTTGCCTGTCAGTTCTTCCTAGGTCCGGATGAAACATGGTATGAGGTTTTTGTACCAAGTATAGACACGATTAGTTAGGCTTTTCGAGAACTCCATGAGACAGAGGTTGCAGTCGCCGGCATGAGGACCCAAAGCGTCAATGAAACAGCTTATATGTTCCTTAGGGCTACCATTCCTTCCGTCAAAGAGAACAAGGTTGAGAGTCTCGTATCCCTTAGAATATAACATGTGGAGAACGCTGGTTGGATATGGTGGCTCAGGAACATATTTCCAATAATCTGAGCTCATGTGCACCTTCTTTTCGAGCATGGCTATGGCATATTCCTGAGTGACAGTGGATGGTGCTTTCTCAGGACCCTTGCCTACATCAGCAACTAACTCCTCTTGAGAAACTTTTCCATGAGCATGCAATCCTTGTCACTTGCTTTCTCGCTTGGCTTCGGGATTGAGTTTTTCAACTCTTTTAAGGACGCATCAATTTCTTTTTGGGCTTCATCCAAGGCATGAATAGCTGCAATAATGTCTGGCATGTTGTATTCATCTTTTGGCTCTCATGGCGTTAGCTTTCATGTTAAGACTCATCTAGTAGGGAAGCAACCTCGCTTACATTTGAGGCATTGCCACTCCTAGTAGTGTTTCTTTTGGATCTGGGAGCCATTGAATGAAGATTACGACTTGTCCCCAACAAAGTTGCCAATTTATGTTGGGGGACTTTTAGGTCGAAGTGGACTTGGGCTTTGAGAAAGTCTTCTTGTCTCCCTTGGTACGAATTCATAACAAGTCTCAGGATATCTCGAAAGAGTTAGCTTGTCTTAGGAAATACTCCAGTAACATCAACGGCTCGAAGATAGCATGAATGATCAAGATAATGACTTGCTCAAGTGAAGCGTGGTGTGGAAGCTAGAAGATTATCAATTTACATGAGAGAGAAAGGGTTTTCATGGTTGTGTGGCATTTTTAGCTGCATGATTCGGGCTTTCTTGGGGTGATGGTAAGGCTTTTAATGGCTGGGATGTTTGATAGAAGGCTATGAAAATTACTAAGGTTGCATGGATGATGATGCTTGGGGTTTGTAGTATGCTTATAGGGTAACTGGAACTCTCTGGGCTTATTTCCTAAGTGGTTCTCTCTTCTTACGTTTCTTCTATCTCTCATTGTGTTACTATGAATCTTCTCTCCAATGGCTTCTCTCCCTCCTTATGTAGGTGAAGGGTTATTCTCTAGATTTCAAGGGAATATCCCTTTGTGGCTTAGTCATCCCTCCATTTCTCCCTAGCTATCTTATTATTCCTCTTTTGGTGTAAACTAAATGCACTATTAAGACCTGCAGATTACTTTTTCCCAAGGCGTGGCTTTCTCATGGCGGCCTTCCACATGCGCTAAATCTGGTAACGAGTCTCACGGCTTTTATGCGTTGGCTGTCTGTGCAGGCTGGGAATGGAAAGTTAGCATTAAATGCTTGACTTGCTAGGCTTAACATGCATTTAATGCAAGAATCTAGTTTAATCCTAACTAAGGGGGTTGGCTTCCTAGGGGAATGGATAAACTAGGCTAGTTCTCTCTCAATGATGCATGCATGGATTACAAAGGGTATGGGCTTGGATCTTTGGGCCCCCAAGCAGCCCAAAGTCTTCCATGACCCCGATTCCACGTAGGTCCAATAACCTTCCGTAACCATTCACACCACAATCCACTGGGTAAACCCCTATTATGTGACTTGGGCTTAGCATGATTTGTGGTTAAGGAAGCATAGCGTGATGAATACGCATGAGCATGGCATGAACATCCGGCTTAATCATCGCGGCATGGCATGCTTATAAATACATTCTTCGTCGATCCCATGCCTTGGCATGTGCTTGGGTTTAAATGTAGGCTTGGCATGACAATTAAGCCTTGAGACTTGATTGGATTGGTGTGTGACGTTTTTGGGCCCCAACAGTTATAATAAAAAAGGGATTTGATCTGGTTCAAATTCAAACAAACCCATCTCTGCCTCTCTCAGACTTCGCCGATGGATGTCGTCTATCAGCTGAACAACCACAACATCACAAACTCTTCTTGAATTTGGACTTTTCCCTTGTTATTTTTCTATGATTTTTGTGTAATTTTTTTAACAACTTTTGTGTGTGTGTGTATGTTATTTTATTTTATATTTTATTTTTGTTGTATTTGATCCGAAACTCAACTTTTGTATTTTGATGCTAGTACATTATTTTAAGGTTCCAAAGCTATTTGAGCATGTCTGCATGATTTTGGATATGCAACTTATCCTTGTATAAGTTAGTTGTTATCTACATTGGTGATTGATGAGATTTTTGTTTTAGTGAACTGTGATAGATTGTTAATGGCCCTGAAGTTTTGGGCAAGTTCGTTGGTGAAACTGAGAAAAATGTTAGGGATCTATTTGTTGATGCTGAGAATGATCAAATGGCTCACGGTAAGGGAAATATATATATGTCAAGTGCACTTAGGTTGGTTTTTCAATAATTGCTAATGTCATTATGTCCTTAATTCCCTGGGAGACCAGAGTGGTTTGCATGTGATAATCTTGATGAAATGGATGTTATTTGTAACGTATAAATATTTCTTACTCTATGCTTTTTACTAAGATTCCTTATAGGCAAGAAGGGAATGTGGTCAAAGTTACATTGCATGAAGAACTTGGGTCCAACGACTGCAGTAGAGGAGGATAGGATTCTAAAGAAAGGCTGGTTGTAAATATGTGGGATTTGTTGTAAATAACTGAAATACATGTATATTGTGAGATTTGTTGATTTTATAAAAATTTATAATTTTTTTGTTTTGTTTCAAATTTTTATTTATTTTTTCAAATAGAACCTATTGGGCACAATTTGAAAATTGTGCGCATGATTGTTTGTCATCTGACATGCTTGTCAGAATTAAGGCACAAATAGGCTATTATTGGTGCTCTCTTTAGGAGCTTAAAAGCAATATTGTGCCCTATTACCAAAGGGCACGCCTGTAGAGGGCACAAACAATATTGTAGTTGCTGCATTATTGCTATTGGTCTATCGGCACATATGTTGGTGGTCTTTGGCTTCAAAGGGCACAAATAATTTATTATGCGCAGTGCCCATATTTTTTGTAGTGCTCCCAACAAACAAAATGCTACTGCCTAAAAATTTATATCAGATTTATGAAATAAGTGGGAAGCAATTAATGTATTTTATATCAGTAATAAATTAGACATTAATGTAAATTATGAAAGTATGGATTAATTTGCATGCTGCCATCAACGCAAATCTTTTGCATCACGTGTAACAACTTTTAATTGGACTCACTGTAGTCTCTATCATAACAATTTTTGCTTCATGTGTAACAATTTTTTTTGTTTTTTGTTTTTTTTGGGGGGGGGTGGTTGTGTTTGGTTTTGCTATTGTTGATCACAAAAGTTGGTTTGAGAATTGTAGATATCAACAGCTACATTTCACATAAAATTTAATCCTCTTAATGATACCAATACCGTAGGTCGTATACTTATTCAATGATAAAGCTAGGGTTTATATGAAAAGTTTCCAAGAATAACCATTCGTCTAGTATTATAGACATCTTTTCTTAACCCCGCCTACAAGAGTTTTGACAATAAAATACTGAGTAGAAAATAAGCTGTAAACTCGAACATCTAAATTTAAATCTTTACGATCCGGCAAGAACATATGAGTGCATGCAATGTTCCATGTTACAGAAGTAGAGACATTTTTGAAATTTATATGAGATTCTTTTCGTTTTTGTTTTTTGTATTTTTGGGTTGAAAACAATCACACATGTCCCATGGTCATAATAACCGCGCAAGTATAAATATTAGATTTGGAGCACAACAAACATGAGGAACGTCAATACGTCATTAATACGTTTGCTCATGGTAAGTGGCCTTGGACCAACGAATGGATCAGAATTAAAGGAAAACATAAAGATTTGTACATGTTATAACTTTATCAAATTTTGAAAATTAAAACTTTTTTTCAAGTTCTCAGTTTAAAAAATATATATAAAACTAATTTTAAACTCTTCATAATTAATTTTAGTTTTCAGTTTTTCATAATTAGAACCCTAATAAAATTTCTGAATAGTTACCATTTTTTGTTAAAATCTAAACTAAAAAGTAGAAACTTAAATTAAAATTTTAATATTGAAAGAATTAGAATACGAATCCTTAATGTATGATTGAGTCACAAATGTCCCATCTTCACCAGTTTCCTACTAGGGTTGGGGGTGGGCCGGGCCGGGTCCAATTTTGAAGGAACCCATCTTACCTGTTTTAAACAGTAATAGAACGGACCGGTCCAGTTAATTTTGAAACCGGATCTCACCCAGCCCATTATTTACTGGACCCGTCCCACGGTCCAATTCTTCTTTTTTTATTTGAACCGAGAATCTGAACCAAATAAAGCATAAGCATATCCAATCACGGAGGTCCTAGCTAGAAGATCAACGGCATACCCTGGTAGGGACACCGGAGGAGCATCAGCTCAAGAATCCTCAAGCACGTGGTGTCGTCGTCGACCACTAGAACCCTCAAGCCTGCTGGAAACCGATCGGGAATTGCCATTTCAATGGCGGCAGGCGGTGAACAAAAATGATCAGACAGAATGAATCAGACGAATCTGATGATGATGGTGGCGGCGAGAGAGGAAAGGAGATTCAAGGAGGAGAGATCGAGGGAGGAGAGATCTAGAGAGGGGAGAGTTGAGTGAATTGGCAATCTCGGACAAGAATAAGAGAGAGAGAGAGGGAGAGAGGGAGAGTTGAGTGATAGATGGTTGAGATTTAATCAGGGTGGGTGATAGAGGGTGATGATGGAGTCCTGTACCCTTCTGCCCATCCTTATTTCCTGCCACAAATAAATGCACATTTTGAGCTGCAAAAAGAAAATGGCATTTCTGAAATTGTCTGCAAAACCAAGGGCGTTATAAAGACCAGACCCAGCAGCCAAGATAAGGTTGTTAGGATAACGGAACTACAATAATACTCACTCGGAAGCGCAGTGAACGATGGAGTTGGCTGTGCGCCAAATATCATTATCTTCCCTTCCTAAGAGTAAGATATCCCAAACTTTGATTAATTTCAAGCAGCAAACCTTCAAATTTCTAAGCTTTATGTATGTATTTATTGCGCACCTGCATATCTTCCCATTTTATGCATGTGGTTCATTATAGAGAAAGTGAAGTTGTTGATCATTGATTTTATTTTAGAATTTTAATCTTGGCACAGATGGTTGGTAAGGTTAGATCAGTTGGTCAGGGCAGTGTGCTCGCCCTCATGTAGATCAAAATAGTTTAGATTACCGGATTGTTATAAAAGAAAAGGATGGTAAGAAAATGAGATAATCCATGAACGGAGAATGCCCGCAAATATTGACATTATTGTAGAATTTATTCTGCATTTAAGAGTGATTACGAAAGTGGGTTCCAATGATTTGGTTATTCCACCAACAGCCATTAAATTTAATCTTAATGGAGGAAGCTGGTTGCTCTTGTCATGGGTTCCTCATTAAAACTAACATGAAAGATGATCCTTTTTTCTACTGATTTGTCATTCAAGTTATTGTTGAGGGGATGCCAATAAATGGGGACACTTAAAAATTAATGTTGGTTAAAGAAAGTGAGTTAATTGATCTTCCTGGGAGGTGCTTCTTCGTTGGTTTGGTGGATGCGAAATTAAGTTATACAGCTTTCTTCTCTGAGAGCATAAGTGCTTCTTATTTCAGTAACTTGCTTTTGATGGGTGTGGTATTTGCTTCCTGTGCTGATGTGGGTTCAGAGATTCTACTGAGCAATGCCGTTTTTAAGTAGACAGGAGTGCAAAATGTAAGATGGGGTTGGGGAGAGGCAAGGTGGTGAGATTAGGATTTAGGTTGAACTTTAATGTGGCTGGTGGGAAGCAAGGTGGAACCTGAAACATGTGAAAATAATCCATAATTAGATTCTACCATTTGTGTAGGTAATTGGTTTTTCATTCGATGTTTGGTTGATTTCTTCTTGACACTGAAGCACTCACATGTATCATGTGGGCGGTCCTGATCTTGAGTGAAAGTTAAACAAAGGTTCTCTTTATTAATATCGGGTGGATCTGATTGTGTCTACTGTTGATCTTTTTGGTACATATGGTCACCAAAGGTCCAAAATGAAGAACCTTAATCGACATTAAGTGAGGTTTAGCAACACCCAATAAATCCAATAATCAGCATGCTCACGGCCCCAAGGGTTAGGCCATCAATCATGCTAGTTCCTTCCCTGTACACACGACCCAACTGACACTGTCAAATCTTATGCAGAAACTATTGTAGAATCATGTACATTGTTATCTAGTCAGGTGCCATGTTGAACGATTTTTTACCTGATTTTACGTGTGCTTGTTTCTACAGTGTTAAGTAAGCTCTATTGGGATTTGGAACACTGATCTAATCTGTTGCTTGAAGTTAGGGATGTTAAACAATGAATTATAGGACCTATATATAAAAAGTTTTACTGCATTTATCCTCTTCTATTGTCTGGATTTGAGGCTTGTAAGCTATAAATTAACACGAAATATGCACAGCAGGAGCTTTTGTAAGAAGTGTAACTGAAAACTACCATCATAACGTGATAACATTTCCATTTGTTTGTTCTTTGTCATATTATTAAGGATCAAAATTCTAGTTTCTGATCACTTGCTAGTCCTTTTTTCTCTTGGCTAAAAATATAGTAGTCCATTCGAAGCTTTTGTGTATGCTTAAATCATTGAATTCATGCATTTCTTTCTTGTATTCCTTCGACTATAAATAGTTCTGTCGTATAATGGTAAAGCTTATAGCAAGTTAATATCTTGAATCCTTTATTTCTTCAACATAGGGTTGGTTGCTTGTTCTTATTGAGAAGTTTATTTGGGTCGAAGTCAACAGTTTATTCATGTTAACTCAGACATGGAAGTTTAGGCCATTTCATATGACGGTTCATGCATATTTTCATTTAGCTTGATGTGCTTCCAGCTCCTTTATTTCATTGTTTTAAACTTAAAATTCCAATATTGTGCTCTGCGTTTTCTACCAGCTGATGTATTTGACTCATCCCAGTAAACAACAGGAATACACCTGAAAAAATTTGAGTTATGGTTTCAATTTCTTTCTTTCCTTAGTTTCTACCACGTGAAGTATAAGTTAATTTATTCCTTAAACTAACTCCTTAACGCTCTCTTTGTACAATTCACAAGCTGCAATGCATACCACTTACTTTGGTACTTAGTGTTGATTGAAGTACAATTGCTAATCAACTTTGTGACAATTCCCTATATGCAAGCAAGAGCTTTGTTAAATTACTTACTTAGTTCATAGCTCTGTTAACTTAAATTTATAAGGACTATAGTCTATAGTGTTGAACGATTCTCTTCTGATAGTGATCACTTTATTGATTGGACTGTGACTTTTGTTCTTCAGTCAATGTAAAGCCACGAGAGCAAAGAAGAAGACAATCATCATTGGTATCTTCTGCCCTACCTGAAACAGTGGCTTCAATAGCGATTGCTGCTACAGTCGTTGGTACAGCAGCTGCGGTTCTTGCAAAGAGAACCAAAGCTGCTGAAGAAGCTGAGGTATGTACATAATTATAAAACAACAAAAAATCAACTCAACGAAGCATTATCTCCAGCTAAGTAATAATTTACAAAGACATAAATTCATTTCTTTAATGAATGGAAATTGATAGAACATGTAACAATTCAATGCCAACGGAAAAAGTACTGATAGGCGATTATGATAACCGTGTCACATCTCTTTTCATATGCTTGAGCTAGCTATCTATCCAAATGAACTCCTTTTCAGAAGTGCAGGTTCCTATGAAAATATGTGAAGCCTGTCGTGGTTCTGGTATATGTCCTGAATGCAAAGGCGAAGGCTTTGTACTCAAGAAACTCTCTGACGAAAGTGCTGAGAGGGCAAGAATGGCTTCTAAGAATATGGCCACTCGATACACAGCAGGGTATGTACACTTCTTTTGAGTTTCTCTCACATTCCTTCTGGGACCTTTAATTCTCTTTCTCACTCATTTTCATTCGATCAACACTTAAATTCTGTTGGAAAATTTAATTCATAGTTAATTAAACTATTTTATTTGAATGGAAATTATATATGATGGGTTGTGACCATTCATGAATAGGGTTGTGACTGTTGAATTAAAGAGAAAAGGTGCAACCCTTGCCTTTTAATTGAAGAGATGTGCTACACAACTATTACGAAGAGTCACTTCCATAATGGCCTATCAAATTAAGTCATTAGTCAATTTTTTTTTAGTTGAGTCATACATGTTCGTGTGAGTCATGTCATATTTAGAGATTAAGTGAGTCTGAGAGAGTTCAACACATTCGGGGGTTCATTGGAGCCTTGTGATTTGGAATGCCACTATTACAAGGACGTGGTCGTTGTATCCTAAAAGACAAGCGCCAATCAACCATAAGCACTGTAATTGGGTGTAAAATTGTCTTAAGGACAAAATGTCTAACATTTGCCTCGACTGACTTGTAGATGGTTCTAATCTAATTTAATGTGCATTAGCATTGTGTTTTCTTATGAGTATGCATTAAATTGTTTATTTAATTGCATAAATTATTTGTAAGTATGCATTAAATTGTTTATTTAATTGCATAAATTATTTGTTGTTTTTATATGTGATTTATACAGCAATTAGACTCCATTTTTACCAACAAATTCTTCTGAAATGATATCAGGCTTCCAAAGAAATGGAGCTATTGCACAAAATGCTCTTCTGCGCGATCATGCCTTGCCTGCAGTGGCCGTGGAAAGATAGCTTTGCTTTAACCATCTTTGCGCTTTGAATAGAGGAGACTACTTAGTGATGAGCATGTAAAAGAAAATTCGTCTTGTAGGGCGCTTGTACTTTGGAAGATTTGAAGTGTTCTCTTTTGTTTTGTTTTCTTTAGTTGCGGAAATTTCTTGTATATCAAGTAACGGGTGGTGTATATATTCTTTTGTAATATATTTACCCCATATATTTGTACTATCACACAAACATCCGAATTTTAGTCACTTCTATCGATACCATAGAAAAAGTCACTTGAATATATTGATGAAGGAAATAATTTATTCTGATGTTTAGTGAACAAGTTGCACTCTATTGTGTTCTTATATACTCTAGTGCAGGAGTGTGTACATGTTTTGCAGATGGGAGGGAGGGAGGGAGAGAGAGAGAGAGAGAGAGAGAGAGAGAGAGAGAGAGAGAGAGAGAGAGAGAGAGAGAGAGAGAGATTAGGGTTCTAGCAACATGTGTTTGTTATATACCATCTCCACTGATTCTATTGAAAAGGATAATCTATTAGTTTATGTTAAATTCATTTTGTTTTAGAGCATCTCCATCCATTAGTGTAGGGTAAGGACAATTTTATTGCCTTGTGCAAGTCCACCGGTGGAAAGAGAAATAGGAAGGGTGATTAGTATTCACAAATATATATATATAATGTTTTCTTCATCTTATCCCCAAATGTTATCTTATCCCCAAATGTTATTGTCACTATAGAATTTTGTTTAATTGTAAATATTTAATTTGCAAGTGTGTTGAACTCAGTGAGAACTTTGTAAGTTTTTTGGATTTTTAAAATTTTTTGGTTTTTTTTATGATTTTTTTTTATTTTTTTAAAGTTGTATTAATCCTGGCCGTCGAATTTTCAATTTTTTAATCAGAGGCTCACAAAGTGCCACGTGGTGGTGCTGCAAAATTTTCATTTTTTAAATGTTGGAAATCCAACGTTCCTAATCAACAAACCGTTGGAAATCTGACTGTAGTAGCATGAAATTAGAGCCATTAGGCTCGGTGGCTTCATGTAGGGTGGGGCCCCCCTTGTCTGTTGCAGACATCTCGTGGCCTTCTCCACGCGGGCGCAAGCCCAGTAAGCTAATAGGATTGCTGCCTTTTGCGAACTGCATCCCAATTTTTCCACCATTTGAGAACCATTTTTGGGTCCAAAGGCAATTGAATCCAATTGCTCTTGCAATTGTGCTTCGTTGGAGATGCTCTTAACGGTAATTGTGCGGTAGAATAAGTTAGACCATTGGAATTATTAGAAAACCTTATTCTAATTCTTGAAAAAGATAAATTTTAGACCAAAATCTTTTGTAATATTAAATTTATTAGAAAACTTTATTCTAATAAATGTTAGACTAAAATCTTGTGTAAGATTAAAATCTAAGCCGTTGATACATTTAATCAACTCATTTATCAATCATCTTTAGATGTTTTATTTTTTTATTCCAAAATTAATATACTAATTACTTTTGATTCTAATTTTCATTTCATTCATGATAATATATTTTGTTGTAGACATTTAGGTGAACTAATTTTTTTTTACATAATATATTCAGATACACTTTGTATTCTTCATTTATTAGGTAAATTAAATTATTTAATATATTTTGGTATATCTATTTCAGTACAGACATTTAAATATATTAATTCAATATAATACATTTCAGTACCTATATTTTGGCACATACATTTCGCTACAAACATATAGGTACATTAGTTCATTATAATATAATTCAATATTGATATTTAATTACATGAAGTCATTTTAATATATTTTCAATACACTTATGTATTTACATTTTTTATGTGTCACTATCTTTTTTAATGTTTTATCATTTAGGTATATAACTAGAGGAAGTAAAACAAAATAATTAATTTAGAACATGCATGGTCATAAATTTAAATATCTGAATAAAATATATATAGATAATAAAACAAAAACATAATTTGAATTAAAATATACACCAAAGGACTAGAATCAATATGTAATCTAATATCAGCGTTTAACTAAATTTCAATTTTTTGTAAGGATAAAATTTCAAAACCCGCTAAAATTATTGGGTAGTGATGCATGGAAAATTTGAATGGTGAGGTGCAAATAAACCAGTCCGAAGGGTTCTAGCAAATTAATTGTAGGCCATAGCCACAACTTTAGAGCATGTTTGGCAATACATTTGGAGTGGTTAAAGTGTTTTAGGATAATCAAAAGTGGCTTTGATAAGATTATGTGTTTTAATTACAGTGCTTTTTTTTTTTTTTTTTGTAAGCACCTAATAGACAATTCTTCAAAGCACTTCTAAGTATGTAGTAGGAAATATGTGAATTTTTCATAAACCTTCCATCTTGCTAATATAATAGGCTTAGAGAGAATTCACGAAATTTAAGCGTTTTCGACAAGAGCACATTCAAGACTCATGCAAATTTTCGTAGTGTTTGCAGAAATTATATTATATTACAAGTTGGGTGTTCGTAGATTGCATTTTTAACCAATCGAAGTTATAGTTTACTACTTGCATATATATAATTTAGGTTTATGCAGCTAAGGATTACTCCAAGGATTATTAGTCAAAATGCCCTCTGAAACTACCATTGAGTCTCAGTTTATCCCTTAAAATTGGTTTTGTCTCACTTTACCCTCAAAAACTGACATTTTCAACTCTTTTGTCTCACTTTACCCACTTTCATTAATGGACTGTTAAATTTAAGGGTATTTTAGACATTTCAATTTTTACACATTTATTTACCTCTATCCTACACACTAAACAAGTCTCAATTTTATTTTTGACAACCCTAATTCAAACGCACAAATTTTGGGCATTTTTAAAAATAAATTATTCTATCAATAGAAAAATTCCAAGCAACAAAATCATTATATCAACCAAAATAAGGGTTACATTTGTTCATCGAGCATCACTTGCAAGAAATCCATGTATTGGCTAAAAAATTTGCAATTGAAAATATTCATTACAACAAAATCATTATACCATTAAGCTATCATATCCAAAATACTTCCCAAACCAAAAAAATCATTTAAAGGTGTGCACAGTTTGAAACAAAAAATTTCACATTGTTGAGCACCGATTCCACTAGGCATGAGCTTGTTCAAACTGTGCACATTTGCTTTAAATGTTTGGTTTGGGAAGTATTTTTGGTAGGATAGCTTAATGGTATAATGATTTTTTTTTGTGTGTAATGAATATTTTTTAATTGCAAAGTTTCGAGTCAATACATGGATGTCTTGCAAGTGAAATGACTCTACGAACAAATGTAACCCTTGTTTTGGTTGATACAATGATTTTGTTGATCGGAATTTTTCTATTGATTGAATAATTTATTTTTAAAATGCACAAAATTTATGCGCTTGAATTAGAGTTGTCAAAAATAAAATTGAGACTTGTTTAGTGTGTAGGCTAGAAGTAAATGAACGTGTAAAAACTGAAATCTCTAAAATACCCCTAAATTTAACAATCCATTAACAGAAGTGGTTAAAGTGAGACAAAAGAGTTGAAAATGTTAGTTTCAAGGGGCAAAGTGAGACAAAACCAGTTTCAATGAGTAAACTCAATGGCAGTTTCAGGGGGCATTTCAACTAATAAGCCTTACTCCAATTAAACAAACAATATTAAAATGTAGTTTCCTTTTATGTGTACAAATTCCAGGCCGACTTAATTCGGAGTTCATTGACTTAATTAATACTTGGTTTGGTTGTCCCTAATCAGGGCCGGCCCAATGCAAGCAGGGCGACCGTCCAGGGCCCAAAAAAATTAGGGGCACCAAAATTATTAGGGTGGTATATTTATATATATTTTTATGAGAGTATAAATTTATAAAATTTGGTTCAAAGACATAGAAATTTAACTAGAAGTGGTGGTTTGTCATTTGAAAATAATGAGGAGGTCCTGGGTTCAAAACACCATGTATGTTTATTTACTTTCCATTTTTTACAAATTTCTTTTTATAAGAGTATAAATTTATAAAATTTGGTTAAAGGATCAAGAAGTTTAATTAGAAACAATGATTTTTGTTGTTTAAAATTAACAAGAGGTTCTAAGTTCGAAATGCTATGTGCATGTTTATTTTTTTCAATTTTTACAAATTTTTGTTTGGTTGTTAATTTATTTTTAGTTACTATCTAGTAGTTATGTGGGTTGTTATTTTTAAATATTCGTTTTAATTCAAGTCTAATTTTCAACAAAGAATAATACGTAGACCAAATTTGCAAATTATATGACGTGTCATCAAAATGTTTAATTTAGTGCCCATTCATTAATAATGCATATCAATTAAAGACTCGAAAACATCATTATTTTTTAGTCTCATATTGACAAGGTTAGTAAATAAAAAAAAACATCGCACAATTTATTCAAAAACACATTCAAAGTTCAGATGGAAAACAAAACTCATCATCTATCTACTTGTAAGCTCGAATTTTTTTTTTTGTTTCCCTCTCTCAATAAAAAATAAATTAGTCTTTCTGTGTTTCTATTATTGAGTTTGAAGTGTTTTTCTAAGTATAATTTTTTTCGAAATCTTATGTGTGAAAATAAATAATTTTCTTACATGAAGTTATGGCACTTTTTTTTACGTCGTCTCGGGCCTAAAAAATCTCTGAACCGGCCTGTCCCTAATATGCAAGCTACTTGTTAATTAACCAGCTGGTGACCAATTTGGAAAGGTTACGGTGGTCCCTTGGGATATATGAAGAGACTTTTACTATTCATATCGTCATATGCGGCGAAATGGATCACATAAATGTCGAGAATCTTACTCTTGCCCATTGACTCTTCACAACCCTTCACAATGTCAACTCCAAGCCTTATATAAATCCCACACTCCCTTTGTACATTCCTCACACAACACCACGAGTCCATTTCAGTTCTCTGAGAGCTGTTTCAAAAACCGTTCCGAGTTTCAAAACTCTAAATCCAAACCCCAAAATCCGGAACTCGAAATGACAGATACCGAAGGTGAACCCGAAAGTTCCATGCATGGAGTGACCGGCAGAGAGAAAACCTTTGCATTCTCAGTAGCCTCACCAATTGTCCCAACAGACACGACTGCCAAATTCGACTTGCCAGTCGATTCGGAGCACAAGGCCAAAGTTTTCAAACTCTCCTCATTGGCCAACCCTCACATGAGAACCTTCCACTTGTCTTGGATCTCCTTCTTCACTTGCTTTATCTCAACATTTGCAGTTGCTCCTCTCGTCCCTATCATCCGAGACAATCTCAACCTGACCAAGCAAGACATCGGAAATGCGGGGGTTGCCTCCGTCTCCGGCAGC